ATAAATTCGAACTCTACTCATTAAAAAATTTACAGGCTCGAGCTCGATTGGAAATCTCGAACTTGACTCGATTGTTGAACTTGATTACTTAGTTTTAAATGAAAATTTTTACTTTTTTATAGATTTTTTTTTATATTTTTGTTAAAGCACTTGTCCACGTCAGCATATAGCTGTTAAAGAATTGTACGGCCAATTCAAGATTGGCTACACTCTTGTATCTCAGTTTCTATATATAGTAGTCTCTGTAAAACATTTCGGTTAATAAGAAATATTACTTCATTCATGTTACATCCATTTCACTTTCTCTGTTTTGTCCGGAAGTTCTAATCAAGAACTTCTTTACTTATGAGGTTCAATTAGGGGTGTAAATGAGTCAAGTATCTACCTCATTGAGTCAAATTTCTTTAGTTTTTATTGAGCTCGAAGCGAGCTCATTTAATAAATTCGAACTCTACTCATTAAAAAATTTACAGGCTCGAGCTCGATTGTTGAACTTGATTACTTAGTTTTAAATGAAAATTTTTACTTTTTTATAGATTTTTTTTATATTTTTAATATTGAATTACTCGAGAAATGTTAAAAAGTATTATATAATGCTAATTTAAATTAATTTTTAAATATATTTTTAGTTAATCGAGCTATACAACGTGCTTTCAAGTCGAGCCATACTGAGCTAGTTGACGCCCTCAAATAAATAAATAAAAAAAGAAAATAAGATTGGCAGCAAAAACCAAAAACAATATGTTATGACTGAGATTCATTTAGCCCATTTAAGACGGCTAAAAGCTGCTTTAAAAAATAATAAGAGCATTTTTCTTACTGATTATTAAAGCAATTTTTTAATATAAAAATTTATAGTTCAATTTTTTTTTTTAATTAAAAATCACTATAGAAAGCATAAATAAAACAGTTCCAAATGAAATCTAAACCAAAAAAAAAAAGAGAAGCAAACCAAATACAGAAGGAAAAAACTCACAGAATTTCCTGACACATACAGAAATGGAGCCTTGATCAGCTTCTTCATAGCATTTGTATCAATAGCTCCTGGAACAAATTTCTTTCCACACAAACCTGGTACAGAAACACTAAATACCATTTGTCCAGAGCTTGGAATGACTTCTTTCTATTGATATCATAGACAATTATGCAGCCATCTGCCCCTCTGCAGTATTAGAGAGTAAGATTATGAAATTTTTCTTTCTATGGAGTGTCCCAAATCTGTAGAAGTAGCAGATTATTCAATGAAAAATCTGTAAGATGGAAAAAAAAATTTAATTTCGAAAGAAAGCTCACTTCTCTCATATACAAGTATCTAACGGTCAAGACTCCAATCCAACGGTCAAAAAAGGTTTCCTTCTCACAACTACTCCTATATTTGAACTCTCTTCTTGGCGGCATTAACGGCAACGCCATCGCTTACTTCTCTGCAATTCTTTGCTCCTCCTCCCTAAACTTCCCTCGCCAATTGTTCTCTCCGGCCACTATGTTCAGGTCCGCCACAACGTCGCGCACTGCCGCACCGCGCATTGGGGTTATACTCAAAGTCATCCTTCTTGGTGACCATGGGTGAGCTTCCTCTTCCTCTCCCCATTTTTCCCTTCCAGTCCTCTAATTCCCTAACTCAGCGCTTTTAATCCTTCTTCTTGATCCATTTCGTCATTCTTCAGAGTAGGAAAGACGTCGCTGGTGAAGCAGTATCCTCTGTTCCTCCAATGCCAAGATCCTTCCCATCTATTTCCATTGCAATTGTCATGAAAATTCTTGTTCTTGGTTGTTGCATTACATTATCAGAATATAAAGATGAAAGATCACTGTAAAATCATGGCTCCTCTGGTGAAACAATGTCCTCTGTCAGTCTAATAGAGCGATTCTTCCATCTCTTTCATTCTTCTTGTCCTTACTGTAGATTGTGTAGTTCTGTTAAATCTTTCTTGATAATCTTATTCCAGCTCCATCCCATTTCTTGTTCTCCAGATTTGGAAAGACTTCTCTATTCCTCTAATGCAGAAATCTTTGATTTCTTGTTGTTTACTGAAATCTGGAATCAAGATTTGCATCAGTTCCTTTCATTTGTACTTAGATATGTTGATAAGAGTTTCAACCATCAGTTGAAGCCAACAATCAATGCTGATTTTTTAACAAAGGAGCTCCAAATCGAAGGAAAGCTTGTAGCTCTGCAAGTGAGCTTTCTTTCAAAATTAAAATTTTGTTCCATCTTACAGATTTTTCATTGAATAATCTGCTACTTCTACAGATTTGGGACACTCCAGGGCGAGAAAAATTTCATGATCTTGCTCTCCCATACTATAGAGGGGCAGATGGCTGCATACTTGTCTATGATATCAATAGTAAGAAGTCATTTGAAGCTCTGGATAAATGGTATTCACTGTTTATGGAACAGGTAAGTGTGGAAAGAACTTTGTTTCAGAAGCCATTGATACAAATGCGATCAACAAGTGTTTGTGAATCTGTGTCAGGAAATTCTGCCATTCTCATCTGCTTTTTTGTTTTATTAAAGAGCCTCACCCAGCTTTCATATATTAACCATTAACTGTTACATGTGAAGCACTATAAAACCCCAAAAAAGATTAAAAAAAAAAGAAGAAGCAAAATTACATACATCAAGGAAGAGTATAAAATTACATGCACGGGGGGTTCTCTCCTGACTATTGTATTGTTAGTCGGCTCAGTAAATCATTCAGTGAAAAATCATAAATAAATATTCAAAATATTCATAATCTCAATCTTTATAATATACAAAAAAATATGTGGTGAAATTTTGTCCTATACAAAATTATTCACATTTTTCTGTAACAAAAACACAAATTTGATCAGGAAAAATGGTAAAAGCACAAAATATTTGAAATAAAAAATAGATTAAATGTTCCTTACAGCGAGATGAACAAAATTTCCAACTGGGCCGACTGACGAAAATCGCTCCGCTGCCTCCAAATCTCAATTTTTTTTTCTTTCATCTCTTTCTCTCACTTATTCTCTTAACCTCTTCTCTGTTATCTGAATTCCAAAAGATATACTGATTGGTAGTTATAAAAAGATTATTATTGTATGACAAAAATTATTATCATCAGTAATAAATAATATGTTCTTAAAATAAAAATTATATTTTATTTCACATTAAAATATATTTTAATTTTAAATAAAAATAAAGTTAATATATTAAATATGTATTATTTTTATTTGTATTGAATATCATAAAACCTGATTTATACAAAAATATTGTCCCCATTTTAGGCCAATCCATCATATGTATCTGATCTGGATCACAACAAATTTCCATTTCTTCTGCTTGGCAACAAGATTGATGCAGATCATGGGGTTCTGAGACAGGTAATTAAATATAAAAACATACATGATACATAATAATGATTTCATGCATAACATCATAATTTTATAAATTTAGAGAGATTCAGGCTTTGTTTGGGACAGCTTTTTAATTGCTTCTTGAAGCAATTTTTTAGTATAAAGATTAAAATTTTTGTACTGGAAATCAGTTTCAAGAAGCAGCAAAAAAGCCATCCCAAACGAAACCTCAGACTTTTCGTTTGGGACAGCTTTCTAGCTTTCTAGTATTGAAAAGCTACTTTAAGAAGCATTAAAAAAGCGTCCCTATGCTTCATTTAGGACGACTTTCTTACCGCTTCTTAAAGAAGCTTTTTAGTATAAAAATAAAAAATTTTATACTAAAAAGTTGTTTTAAGAAGCAGCAAAAAAATCATCTCAAACGAACTAAATAAATCCTTAATTGTTTTATAGGTCTCTGATAAAGCTGCAATCGACTGGTGCGTTGCTAACGGTGATATCCCTTACTATGAAACTTCAGCAAAGGAGGGCTGCAACATTGAAGCTGCTTTCCTCAGCATTGCCCAAACTGCATTGGCAAACCAGCATGAAAAACATACTATGTAGTTATTTTTATTATTTCAATTGTCTGTCTCATATGATCAGCACAAAATCCTCACTGAAATATGATTATATTGCCATATTTACAGATATTTCACAGCAAGTTCATCTGAAGCTGCTTATGAACAGGAGCAGAGGAGCTTCAGTGGTAGATGGTTCTGCTGCTATTACTGAACCCTGCGCAAATTCTTCCACTTGTATCATAGATTTTTCTGTTGAGAAGAAGAATTTGTTCTTTTATTCTTTAATTTCTGTTCATCCCATCACCAGAAATGCTGTAGGAATAGGTGAATTTCTTTGCTAATTGATCTGCAAAGATGATAGCAATATGTGTTCCAAATCTGTAAAAGATGCATCTTTTTTTGAAGATGTTGCAGCACAAATAAATTTTTACAGAGCTAATTCTCAACCTAAGTTCTATTTGGATTTCTCTGAGGAAGATTTTACTGTTGCATGTTTATATGGATACATGAATCACAATAAAATACTTGTTAGCATTGGTTTAAGTTTTGTTTGGAATAGTTTTTTTATTGTTTTTTAAAGCAGTTTTTAAGTACGCTGTTTGAAGAAGTAGTAAGAAAGCCGTTCCAAATAAAGCCTTAGTACAATTGGGAATCCTCCAACTCATACTCGATTTCTCTCAAGCGGCAGCCGCTCTTAAGTGGGGCCCAATCAAGTGCGGACCAGGAGGTTTCTGAGGTGGGTGCCTCTTCTAGGTCAGCCGATGATTAGTCACGCCGGGAAATGCCATTTCGGATGTGGCAACGGGTGGATAGCCCGTTCCAAAAAAAAATGAAGCCTTTGTCATATATCAGATAAATGAAAAAAATGTTCGTGTTTCGGGTAAGCGATTAGTTCTCTCGCTCTTGTGTGGTCTACTTCAAAATTTAGGTTTAGCCATCATCTTATTTTACTCATAAGTTAATACTTTTAAGTAAATAAAAAAATAAAAAAATCAAATCATTGTTGCATCTAACCTAAAATTGATCTTTCTTTAATTGACATTCCCCAATATTAATCACTTAAATACCAAACAATCAATGCAAAAAAAGAATTATAATAAAAATATAATTACATCCTTTTCAATCAAAACTAACAAATTTTATATTGATGATAAAATTCACTTAAACCAAGATACAAATCCCAAAAGGAAAGCAAAAAAAAATAGCTACATAATAAACAAAATAGAAATAGCTGATGGGCAAGGTGTTTGTTGAATTGCCTCTAAAGAAAATTACAAAGTGAACAGGTAGTTCTAGTGGGAGAAAACAGTCAAAACTGTTGGCTCCATGAATGGCTTGGAGCTATGGCTAGTTGAGGAGGATTCGTTGTATATGGCTTGCAATCTGGGCTTATATGATTGTGAGTTCCTTCGTATATGGTTATCACATAGCTTGAATCGCTACGATCTCTCTCCACTCTCTTTTTAACCTCGCAGCCTGGGCTTGAGCATCGATAGTAATTCCTGCAACAAATATTTGATCAATCTGTACTGCTCAAATGTGCTTAAAGGTAGTTAATTGTGCTAAAAATCTTAAGTGCTGTAGCAAAAATTCAACACGCTTCTTCATTGCTAGTTTAGGTCGTTAAAATATGTAAATAGTGTCACACCATTCTTATATAGTTAGGGTATCTCCATCAGAACTACAAACGTCTGTTTGCAACTACTGTGAGCCTCCACCCGAACGTAAAAGAGAAACATATTTTTGCGGTTGTGAACAGTGCGATGTCAATATGGCGTCACACTATTCATAGAAACCCTTTTTTTATGTGAAAATGAAGATGAGAAAGAATCTACATGGAATTTATTTTTTTGGGTTAGAAATAAAATTCGGTTGGAGATGAATTAGTATTTGAAATGACTATTATTATTTTTTGAAGTGGAAGAAGAGGAGATCAGTTGCTGATGCCCTTAAGTTTCTCTCCTTAAGAGGATTAATTATTCTCTGCGGATAGTGAACGCCGTCTGGAGACCAATCAGAATGCGCTACATCACATCTTCGCTCGGTACCACAGCTCAGTACTGCTCGGTACACGGCTCAGTATCGCTGACTTGATACATTTTGATTGATCTCCGAACGATGTTCTGCATCCGGCATCCACACAGAATAATTTCTCCCTTAAGAGGAGCATTTAGATAAAAATGATTTTCTAAGAAGCGGCCTATAAAAGTTGCAATGGGTTTTAGAAATTTAAAATTTTTGAGATAATTTATATAATAGTAAGCTGTTTTAAAATTTATTTAACAAGAAATTTATTTAATAAAAAACTATTTTAGAAAGCCGGAAGAAAGCTATCCGAAACGAAGCCTAAAATTGATTACTTAACCATATATTAATTAGCAACCTAATAAAACGGCGTTTACCAAAATAGCATAGGCTTCATTTGGGACGGCTTTTTTGTTGCTTTTTAAAATAATTTTTTTAGTAAAAAATTAAAATTTTTGGACTAAAAAACTACTTTAAGAAATAGTAAAAAAGCCGCCCCAAATGAAATATTAGAGTTAGAGGTAGCATTGAAATTCATACCTTGGATTTGGGCTATTCTTCACAGCTTTTTTGCCATATTTCCTCCATTTGAATCCATCATCTAATATCTCCACCTCAGACTTTGTTCTGAATCCAATCCTACACCCACCTTCAGCTTTCCTTCTCTTCAACTCCTCATATTCCCTTCATATCATAAATCACAATATAAATTAGCATAAAAAATTACAACAAAATAACATAAAACAATTAAAATCATACTGTATATTTTATCTTTCAGAACAATTTCAAAACAGTCTATGAACTATTCGTGTATGGCCAATTTATTCCCAGAGTCTGATGCTGCTCTAATTTAGTCTGTCGCTTATACAAAATTGATCGAAAATAATCCCCCATTTTATAATTTTGATATAAAATTTATCCCAATTTAGTCCATCGACTATAAAAAGCTGATCTTAATTTGACCAAAAAAGACCATTTCAGATCAATTTTGTATAATTGAGAGATTAAATTAGAAAGATGTGCTACTCTAATAGTAAATTCGTCGCCATATACGAATAGTCAAGAGACTTTTATCCATGAAAGCTCTTTTATTTAAATCCACTAGCATAATAATATTCTCATAATTAAAATTTAATTACATAATGACTTTATGAAATATGAGTCAACTTAAATATTATTGGCTCACACGATTTAACAAGAGAATAGCATTTAGCTTTGCTTGGGATAGCTTTTTTAATGCTTTATAAATCAATTTTTTAGTTAAAAAATTTATTGAACTAAAAATTTTTATACTAAAAAATTATTTTAGAAAATAGTTAAAAAATTTTCCCAAACCAATCCTTAATCTCTCTTATTCACCAAAATATACTTAAAATGCCATTTTTTTTAGCAAATGAAAACAAAAATAATTCTTATTATTAATTACTCGAAAATAATTATATTTTTTGCATATTAATTAATCAATTAAGCATCAAAACAGTATTAAACTTAAGAAAATTTCATAGTTTGATAATTGATTGAGAACTTCTGAACAATAACAGTCTGAAATATTTTCCCAATAAATATAAATTCAAAATGAACAATCAAATGATATAACGTACATCTCATGCTCGTATAGATCAGAGCTCTCCATCATTCGAGAAGTCGGAGTTTCCAGTTCTCCGGCGACCTCCGTGAGACACGAGCCATCGAAAAACTGACTCTGATCAATCTGCGCGAAATCAAAAACATCTCCGCTGCCGCCGCCGCCGCCGGTTGCCGCCAGTGATCCTTCGCAGCTGCTGTGCAGCAATTTCGCAGGCTGCAAGGAAGAGAAGTGGCTGTTCATCTCAGCAGGCTCTAAGAGAGCAGCCATCGGTATTTCATCCCTTGGTAACGATCACTTCTGATTTATATATTCAGCAAGAAGGTGGATGGATATCCGCCTTCCACGTGGCAGTGCAACTTCTGACGACGGTAATTCGCTCCGAAAGTTCCCTACGGCCAGACCGCGGCTCAGTAGTTGCCACGTGGCAATGTTGGAATTTTCGAGTCACGGTAGTCGCGGTGGCTGTGTTACATCAAGGATCAGCCTTAAGCCCATATCTATTTGCTTTAGTCATGGATGTTCTCACTAGACATTTGCAAGATGATGTACCTTGGTGTATGCTTTTTGCTGATGATATTCTTCTTGTTGATAAGACTAGAGAGGGAGTTGAAGGTAAACTTGAATTATGGAGGTCAACCTTAGAGTCTAAAGGTTTTCGCTTGAGTAGATCTAAAACGGAATATATGGAGTGCAATTTTAGTAGTAATAGACCTAGTGAGAGGATTGTGACTTTTGGCGATCAAGTCATTAATAAGAGTACAAGTTTTAGA